AGCAGCCACTCGTTAACCCCCCACCCACCCCTCCAACTCCCCCCCTTCAGATCTCTATAAATACCCACAAAAGGGTCACCTCATCTTGGGCACAGAGAGAACTGCTCCTGTCTGTGCTCCTGCACTCTGAAGATGCCGGTCACAGATGTTGGCGAAACGTTAGGAAACAAAACTTTCAGAACACAGCCACACAACCCGGAAGACCCACACCAGCCTTAGTTGTGGATCTGTTAGTCTAAATATCTTGACACTTTTGTAATAATATCACTTTCTAAAAAGAGAAATATTCATCAAGCACTCATAATTTTAAAAAAATGAGAGTCAGCATGGTGTTGTAACTAAAGTTTTAAATCAGCACCAAATCCCCCCCCAGTCATGGAAACTCGCTGGTGCTTTGCGCCAGTAACAGTCTCTCAGCCTAACCTACATCACAAGGTTGTTATTAAAAATTCATCTTGCAAGATAGTATTTTAAATGAAAGTTTCCTTTTCTCAGCCTGTAAAAAAGTCTAACCATCTATTTAATGTATTCTGTTCATAATAACAACATTTTAACTTCATCTGTCCTAAAGGTTATAATAGTTGCTTTGTTATAAATTCTGCCCACCTCGTTTCATAGCCCGTGGGCTACCAGGACCGCTTCTGCTTCGAGAGTCTGATTCAGATGTCCGTGAACTGGATCGGGAACTGTCTTCTTCAGACCCAGACGAGTCATCTAAGAATGGGTTGTTACTGATTTGTGTTGCTTTCTGATAAAATCAACAAGCCATTATTTAAAACTGTTAACTGCAATAGTCAAAGAAGAGATAATTATAACAATGGTATATAGTATTCATATGGGTTTTTTTAAGACAAGGGACTGCTTACAGCAGATTATTGTTATATAAATAACTTTTGATCATTAACAGTTTATTTTTTAAAATACATTTATAGGTAGAGGATTAGATTTTCTGCTCTGTTAAAAATATTAATCTATTTCAAGATTTAATTATATTTGCTAGATATAGCCTACAGAAATTTGCACTGAGAATTGTATTTTCATTGGTATACAGGAGGCCAGGATTCTATTTGGTTCCATGTTATTAAGGCACATCACAGAATATTGTGCAGTGTGATAACATTTGGGACCTGGCTCCTTCTCATTCTCTGTCCAAAAAGACACATGGTACTATTCATGTATTGCTAGATAAAGTTTTTTTGCACCTAAGTGAGTCGGTAACGACTGAGTGCAGATTAAAAAAAAAATAAAAAAAATCCAATATCAGCTTATTTGCATTTCCATCCTTTCAGTCAACATTTCTGGCTCTGAAATTAAATTTTACTGTTATTTCAGGTTTCACATTTGGCATATTAAATAAAACATGGATCCTGATTGTGTGTCAGTACATTGCAGGTACCTTCAAGTTGGTGGAATGTAGGCAACAATATGTTGGCTTGCAAGGTAGTTTTTAGATCAGAGAAGAATAAAATTCAGAGCTAGAAGTGCTTGCAACTGAAATGCTTCATTTGTGGTTAACAGAAACATATTCTGGTTATTATTAAGATAGCTATTTTATTACTCTTTCAAAGGAACAAGAAATTACTTTTCTAGAATAAGGAAGGAAGGAAGGAAGGAAGGAAGGAAGGAAGGAAGGAAGGAAGGAAGGAAGGAAGGAGAGAAGGGAAAGGGAATGTTTTGAGTAAACATATGAAGACACATTTTTCAAAGTGGACCTACAGAATATATCTCCAAGCATAACTGTAAAGAAATGGTTACCCCTTTAAGAGTGGTATAGACTGGTGTAGTCATGTTCTTATATATTAATGATGTGTAGAGTCCTGATGGAGAATATGAAGTTGAAGAAGAGGAATCTGAAATAAAGTTTTTTTAAAAAATAAATTCTGAAAATGCTGGGTGTATTGTTTTTTTAATTAAAAAAAAATCAGTTAATTTGCCAAATAGGTAGTTGGATAAGAATCTGTATGAGACTCTAGATTATACCTTTTATATTAAAAATACATATTTCAGACAGAAAACTCAAATTCAAAAGGTACATATAAAAAAAAATAATAAAGCAAAAATAAAAATAATAAAGCAAATAAAAATAGCAGAAATAATTCATGAGATATGAAATAATATGCTCCATCAGACCAGACCAGAAACAATATTCAGTCAAGATTTCCTAACACTGGCTACAATAATCCATTAAAAAGTAAAATTTTCTTTGGAAGTCAGCTTTAGATGCTTTCAGGACCTTTGAAATCCCAAAGAGTGTCAATTAAAGGTTTTTCTTCCCTGATTATGCTGACTCAAAAGGAAATCTTACAATGTTCAATGGGACTTGCCTAAGCAATTCATTTTAAATAACTGTTCTAATAACTTACTTTTATTGAAGGACTCCATGTTGAAGGCCTCAGAAAAGCACAGACCTGACTTGGCTACAGCATAAATTCTGTTTTCCTGATGAACAAAACAGAGATGTTATTATATTGTTTCCAGTAACATTATGTTCACATTATACCTAAAGCCTTCTTCCACTAAGCTCAGCTGAAAGCAGAATTAACCAATAATTTTTAATGTATCATCTAAACTTGATATTATTTTCATATTTTTATTAACATAAAGATGTATATTTGCATCTCTAGCTAGTAATATTAAGGCCATTTTCTAAAGACAATTGCTATTGTTTATGAACATTTTTAAGGTTAAAGATTGAAGTGACAAATTGTTATCTACACAATATCTATCTAACCGTGTTATTTGTAATGCTTTCTAAATGTGTTACTTCTGTTCCAAGGAGAATCACCAAACTAGCCAATCACTTGAGTCTTTAGTGCCCACTAATCTTCCAAAATGCATGTAGTTTATGTGACTACATTATAAGCGATCCTGAGAAAATTTGAGTTTGAAGGGAGCTATACAACTCTTAAAGTAAAATCGGTAATTAAACAAGAATTCCAACATTATGCAGTGTCACTGTACTGTTAAGGACTTCTGCTTTGGTTTTAGTTTTTTTTAAAAAGAACTGCAATAGTTTGACTCAATTCTAATCTTCTGCCTCTGCTATATTCTGTGATGTGTTATAAAGGAGATGGGATCACCTTCCATGGGACTGTCCATAAAGTCTTTTATAACCCTATCTTCCTTAACTATGTATATTATCTACTACTCAGTTAACATCAATCACATATATTTTGAAGTATAACTCAGGAATCAAGCACTTGCATGAAAAAAATTACTGTATATGTAAAGAGTAAAGATCCCTTTGTGTCAAGCTTGATTCCTGATGATTACATGGACATGTCTATATAGTTTTCTTGGCAATAATACAGAAATGGTGTGCCGCTGCCTTCTGCTTGGATGGTTTTTAGAAATCCTAGCCCTGGGATTTCCTGATGATATCCCATTCAAGTATTAACCAAGTTAAACCTTGTTTAGCTTTTTTGAGATCAGCCAAAGTCAAGTAGGTGCTGTCATCTGCTATCAGTAGTCAATTTTAATAGAGAAGAATTGCCACTGATGTTTTCAAAACAAATCCTGAGAAAAATTATCTGCCATGATAGTATGTCCACATTTAAAATGAACAGCCACACTTATAGGGCAAAATTACAGTGGAACATGAGTAATGTATAGTTAAATTAACAATCTGGAATATTATTATATCTATTTTACTTACCCAAGAGGGGAATCGATGCAGCGGAGGAGGAGGAGGTTTACAGTTAATCACCTTCCATGAATCACTCGAATGCAGGGTTTCTATGTCTTTCATTTCACAGCAGTCATAAGTAAATGATTCTTCATTACAACTAATCTCCATCTTCTCAAAAACCTCCGTGCCATCTCCATCTATCTGATCAATGTCTGTATCCTGAGGCTTAAAAGGACGTATCATACTTATAGCATTTCTGTTTCTGCCAAACAGTTTGTCTGAACACAAGGAAGGCTGGCTAAAATGCTTTTTGGCCAATGCTGTACTTAGAATAAAAGCACTAGGAGTCCTCAGTTTGGGAGGTGGCAGATTAGATGGAGAATCAAGCTGTTTGCCAGACTGAGAGCTTGCTGCCAACATCAGTGATGGATGCTTAGGTGCCAAAGATGGGGTTAAAATTGGACTTGGAGTATTTGCCTCACTAGAAGAGGATGAATAATCTAGCCTGTGGGATTGAAATCTCTTATTCAGTTCTTCTGAAAAGCTATCATGACTTTTTTTTTCACTGAATGATTCCAAGTTGCTCTTTCCAACCAGATGGTTCTGATTTTTCCACAAAGAACCTTGTTGCCAGGAATATAGTTTATGTACACTTCCCTGAGCTTGAAAACTTTCTTCTTCCAACATGGAACTACTGTCATCTGATGCTGTCAAATACATTTCACTCCCAATTCTGCTGTACCCTGTGCCTTCTTCAGATGCGTGACTTGAAAATGTAGATACACATCTGGATTTCGGTCTTCCTTTGCTTCCTTCTTCATCAGAGCTCCAGTCACTTACTGTAATGCAAGAATTCTTTGATATATTATTATCTATATCTTTTGACTTCCCTGCCATCCTTTGTTCAGGTATGCAAGAGTTTTGTTGTAGTGGTTTCAGACCTCTGTTATTTCCATATGTTTGGTCAGCAAGGGATGTTTCCTGAATTTCATTCTCTGGAAACCAGGAGACAGTAACAAAATTGGACAAAATTGTAATCAACATCTATAAATAATACAAATTAAAATCCATACTTTTCAGACAAGGAAATAATAATATACAGTGTATGCAAATAATATGAGATTATGTAAGAATGCTTTTATACAGAAGACTTCTAATACTGATAATCAAAAGATATTAGAGATATTCCATCTCCTCTTAATTGATTTGCTATGAGAAAAAGGAGAACAGTAGTGGAGGGAAAACAGAGCAAGATTACAAATGGAAAACTATTATCTGGCACATTTTTTAAAGTTCCATGAATAAGGCAGTGTATTCCATAGCAAAAACCTCATCTTTAAGTATCCTAAGACAGAAGGGGATTGACAGAAGCAATCTTAGAAATCCAACAGAAGAGAATACATGTATCTCAGGATTGAACTGTGGAGTCCTTGGTGCTCTCTGAGCTTGGCTGTTTGCTTGCAGATGTTTCATTACCCAACTAGGTAACATCATCAGTGCGAGTGAGTGTTGGGTTTGCTTCCTGTTTATATAGAGTAGTTTGCCCTGCCAGTGTTGGTGGGGTTTTCTCCTTGGTAGTTCCTTGATTAGGCTATTGTTTTCTGCTTGATTGTTTGTCTGGTGTTAATCCCTGCTTATCTGGCTATTGGTTGCTGGAGAGGATGTGTTCTGGTCTTTTTGTTTCCTTTGTGGCTTTTTTATTGTCTCTTTTGAATGGTGTATAAATGTGGTTTATCTCTATGTGTCTATGGATGGCTGATTTGTCTGAATGCAAGCTTCTGGGAATTCCATAGCGTTTTTGGATTTAGCTTGGTCTAGGATGCTCATAATTTCCCAGTTGAAACTATGGTTGAGTCTGTCCATGTGTTGTGAGATTAAGACAACACCTTTGTCATAATAAAAAAGGAACAACTAGAGAAGACACATGGAACAATCAACATGTTCAAAGGAATAAAATTCACAAGGAAAGAAGAAAACAACAACACACTACTCTTCCTGGATATCCTCATCAGCAGAAGAAACACTGGCAAGTTAGAAACACAAGTCTATTGAAAAACAACCCACACCTCCCACAAGAGAAGCAGTGTAAGAACCCAAAGAACCCAACCTCCCACAAGAGAAGCAGTGTAAGAACCTTATTCAGACGAGTTCAAATACACTGCAGCAACTCAGAACACCAGAAAAAGACTGCCTATACAACATCTTCCAACAAAATGGATACCCACACAACTTTATCAAAAAGTGCCT